TTCGGCGGACGCCGCTTTTGGGAGAAGAATACTCCAGCATGTTGTCTCAATGGAAGAAGATGACAACCCACCCAAGTAATCTGGACACTGCTCGGTGAGGTCCCATAGAGATGTCCTCCTCCTCAGAGGGAGAACGACCATTGGTTCTTACCGTGAGGGGTCCTTCTCCTCTGAGGTTCAGGAGGACATCTCGGCCCTCCCATTGTCATCTTCTTGCCTATTTCTTGACTGTCTTCCCTGCTGGATTCTTCCTTACCATTCTGCTGTTAATTCTAACCTGCACATTGCAGAGTTTCTTCTATTTACAGTTGCCAAGTTTGAGCACGTTAATGTTATGTTATGCAGTTATGTCTTTTAGAGCGAGGTCTAGTTCTGTTTTTTGGCTGCTACCACTGCTTTCGGAGTTCCAGAACTGAGGGCTATTCCGGAGGCGCCAACAGGAAGGGGAAAAAATCATTTCCTGCCTCCCTAAAGGCACGGTGGGAATAACCCATAGAGATGTCCTCCTGAACCTCAGAGGAGAAGGACCCCTCACGGTAAGAACCAATGGTCGTTCTCCCTCTGAGGAGGAGGACATCTCTATGGGACCTCACCGAGCAGTGTCCAGATTACTTGGGTGGGTTGTCATCTTCTTCCATTGAGACAACATGCTGGAGTATTCTTCTCCCAAAAGCGGCGTCCGCCGAAGCAAAAGTGTTGATCTTATAGTGTCGAATAAACGTGGAAATGGAGGACCAAGTAGGCGCCTTGCAAATCTCCTCCACTGAAGCCCTATTGGTCAAAGCTGCATTCGTCGCTGCGCTCCTTAGAGAGTGAGCTGTAATTCCATAAGGTATCTCTAATCCCGACGCTCGGTATGCCTCAATGATGCAGGACTTTAACGTTAAGCTGATGGCCGATTTGGACATCTTCTCTCCTTTTCGCGGTAGAGAAATGTTTATGAATAGTGCCTCTGTCTTCCTCCATGTCTCCGTTCTGGTCAAAAAAATCTTGAGTGCTCTTTTTACATCCAGCGTATGCCACACCCGTTCTTTAGGGTGCTTAGGATGCGGACAAAACGTAGGTAAACATATTTCTTGAGAAAGATGGAAGGAAGATGTCACTTTAGGTCTGAAGGTCGGATCCATTCTGAGTACCACTTTGTCTTTATGGAAAACACATAAAGAGGAGCGTGCTGACAAGGCTCCAAGCTCAGAAACCCGACGTGCAGATGTAATAGCCCTTCACCTAAAGAGTGATTAACCCCTGGAATTCACTGCCACGGGAGGTGGTGGCGGCTACAAGCATGGATGGCTTCAAGGGGGAATTAGATCAGCTGAACAAAAAATCCCCGTCGGCTGCAAACGTGTGCGACTTATAAGATTTATATGTTGTCCTCCCTTACCCCCTATGAATCATTGTCAGTCCCTCGTCAATGTGTAACTGTAAACCGCTCAGAGCCAGCAGCTCTGCAGGATTGAGTGATTAATAAATCGAAATATATTATTATTATCAACATCTGGAGCAGAGGTCCATCAGTGGCTATTAGCCACAAGGTCTAGATAGGAACTCTCGGTCTGGGGCAAGGGATACTCTGTATTCTTGGTGCTTTGGGGGAGGCAACAGTGGGAGGGCTTCTGGTGTCCTGGCCCCAGTGCTGGACCTCCTGATGGCACCTGGTATTTTTGGCCACTGTGTGACAGAGTGTCGGACTGAATGGGCAATTGGCCTGATCCAACATTGGCTTCTCTTATGTTCTTACGTCCTTACCAGTTTGAATCTCCAGCATCTCTGGATAAAAAGGCGGTGGCGGTGCAAAGTTCAGTCAAGTTGTTGCTGACTTTCGGTGACCCCGGTGGGGTTTTCGAGGCAAGAGTCATTCAGCGTTGCCTGCCTCTGTGTAGTGACCATGGGCTTCCTCGGTGGCCTCCCGTCCAAGCACTAATCAAGGCCATCCCTGCTAATCTTCTGAGATTCAAGGAAATCGGGCCGGCCCAGGCCAGCCAAGTCAGAGTCTGAGTTTAGACGATCGTGTCTCCAGTCAGCCGTAGTGGCCAGGAAAAGGTTGGTCACGTAACTTTTCCTCTGATTTCAACCAATGTTCCCTCTAAGCTGTGGAGTCTTGTGAGCAAAAATTCTACTTTGTGAGCTACTGGCATGAAAGTTGTGAGCAGGTGATTTGGCTACTGCATAAATTAGTGTGCTCTGGTGGCCATCTTTCATGAGCTAAGACAAAAATGTGTGAGCCGGAGACTAAAAAACTGTGAGCTAGCTCACACTAACTCAGCTTAGAGGGAACACTGATTTCAACATAGTGCAGTAGTTCCAGTTTCACAGGGTTGTAAACAGCGTACATTTTAAGAAATGGCGAGCACCAGAGTAGGTGAAACAAAAAAAGCCTGTCTCTCTTCTTCTGCTTCACTCCCTGTCCCCATAATAAAATACAGACATTTACTTGGAAACGTTCTACTTTCCTTCCTCTAAATAAAGACCTGGATTCTTCTAGGCTACTATATTACTTTAACAACCTGTTTCTGAGGAGGCAGGGACCTAATTAAACAGGTTCAACTGGACCCTCGTTTTTGGATCGAGACATCTGTTTTATGGCCTGCCCTACAGTACCCACATTATTTTCGGTAGGAATGACCAGTTTTAAGTATCAGGCAGAGGACGGTGCAGGTACATTAAGTGTATCGTGCTTGTGGCAGGAAAGACCCCAAGGGACCGAAGTGATGGCGTGGAATGTGTCCAGGCGTTCTGTTTGCCCTAGGAACACTAGTGGCCCAGCCAGACTGGGACTTGAACACGCAAACAGGCACGAGTATTTTTTTACCCAGTTTATTCTCTTATAATTTATATCATCTGTTATAAGACTTTCTAAAACACTTAAAATTAATCTTCCCTTGAATATTTTTAATATGGGTTATAATTTTGTAAATGTATAGAAAATCAAACTCCATTGTAACCAATGTTAATCAATTACACATGTATAAAGATTCCCTGGGCAAATTTTATCATTTGCAGTTGTATGGATGTATACATGAAAAAAGGGGTTAGATATTCTCCGACCCATCTTAGTCAGTTGCACATAAACAAGGGTCCCCTAAACCAGTCTTATTTATAGGGATTAATTTTTTTCTTCTTTTTGTGATTTCTTCTGTTCAATAAAGTCTTGATTCTGTGTCTTTTTCCCTTGTAGGTAGAGAATTCTGTTTTACCTTCTCTCTGGAATATTTTTCCCTTTATAACTTTGAGGATTCCAGAGTTTAACAGTCCTTTTGTAGATCTGTTATTCTCACTGTATTCTCTGTAGAATATCCTCCAGGCCTCCAGTAGGTTGCCATGACTTCCAGGTGCACATGCACGTAGTTCTGATAAGAGCTGTTCTTGAAAAAGAGCAGTTTCTGTCAGAGTTCTCTCAGCCCCACCTACCTCGAGTGTCTGTTGTGGGGAGGGGAAGGGAAAGGAGTTTGTAAGCCGTTCTGAGACACCTTTGGTTAGCGAAGGGTGGGGTATAAATCCAATCTCTTCTTCTTCTTCTTTAGTGTTCTTGAGTCTCATCTTACACTGCTTGGCTTTGTTTTACATGTTGGGGGGGGTGGCTGTTCCTTTTGGCGGGTGGAATGCCAAGGGATTATTGGTTCCAAACCTTTTAGGGCCCTGTATATATTGCTTTCACGCCTTTAACCTCAGTTCTAACACGACCCGTGTCCAGTCTGGATCCTGTCAGTGTCTCAAGAAACCTATCATTCTCCAGAGTGAATGTTGTTGGGAACGGATTTATCTAGAAGTCTGATACCTTGTGAGTCCCATCATCTGTCGCCAACAGGAACAGCAAGCCGTTAACGACAGGACATTTGGGAGGTCATGAATTCATAGGGTCCCCAAAAGCCGGAAGTGACTTCATGGCTCTTAACACAACCCAAAGGGCAGTGACTGCCCCCAAGAGTGTGTGTGTGTGTGGGGGGTTAGTAATGGCTGCCTGAATTCCATGTATTGACTTGAATTAACTGGCCAGTTCTTTTGCTGTGGGCTTCTCATTGTATGAAATATCTCCGGCCAAACTGGTTGGCTTGAGACCCGCAAAGGAAAGAGGAAAGGGACAGTGGACCACGGCTCAGAAGCGAAATCAGTCTTTTTCTTCATTCTTGGATATTTGGACAAATCGGATTCAGGTTGGTTAAGTGCCATCCAGTGTTCCCTCTAAGCTGAGTTAGTGTGAGCTAGCTCACAGTTTTTTAGCTTCCGGCTCACACATTTTTGTCTGCACTCAGGAAAGATGGCTCCAGAGCCAAATCGCTCACTCACAACTTTAATGCCAGGAGCTCACAAAGTAGAAGTTTTGCTCACAAGACTCCACAGCTTAGAGGGAACATAGGTTAGGATAGCTCAGTTAGGCTGGGTAACTGTTAAACTGTTTCCTTTTTACCCCAAATATTGTGGTAAAAGAAGGGTCAAGGGATCCCCCCCCCCTTTAGCTGAGCTGTGGGTTCAGTTTCACTATTCCCGTACTGTCTAAAATAAAATAAAACTGAACTCGACTGACTGTGGTAACTACCTGTAATTTGGCCAACAACTCTAGATCCATGGCGACAGCGTCTTTGTGATTCAAAAGTTGCTAAAAGAATCAGTTCCAGGTGAATTTGGTTTCATCTTTTCTGGTGAGGTTGAGATGAAGTTTATATTTTTGTCTCCAAGAAGGAAGCGTTATCATTGCAAATGAAGATATTTTCAGAGAACTTGAAGTTGTGCTTTTAAATCACTTTGTTTGATCACCCTCAGTCTGTCTCTGTTTCTCCTTAGTAGGAAACTCTTGCATTTCCCCTTCTATGTGAGCTTAAAGTGAATCTTTGTAGTTTCTGTCAAGAAAGTTAACAGATGCTCGGAATCAAACTTCTCTGTAACAGCGGCAAATTTTTCCATGCGAGGAACGGAATGACTTTGTTCTCATTCAGTATCTAGTTGGGCAAGTTAAAGAGCTCTTTAATCCCTTTTCATTCTGTGCTTTGCAGGCAAGCTTCAAGACATCCCTGCAATCTGTATTGGGTGGCATCATGAGCAAATCACATTTACCACGAACTCGGCGCTAGAGTTGCTGTAGGTTTTCTGCTAAAATGCCTGTGTTGAAGAGCTTAATGTAGTTGAAGAGTTTGGTGTAGTGGTTAAGTGCATGGACTCTAATCTGGGAGAACTGGGTTTGATTCCCCACTCCTCTGCTTGCACCTGCTGGATGACCTTGGGCAAGCCACAGTTCTGCCACAGCTGTTCTTGAAAAAGAGCCGGTTCTGTCAGAGCTTTCTCAGCCCCACCCACCTCACAGGGTGTCTGTTGTGGGGAGAGGAAGGAAAAGGAGTTTGGATAGTGAAGGGCGGGGTATAAACCCAATCTCCTCCTCCTCCTCCTCCTCCTCCTCCTCCTCCAGGGAGCGGGTACTTGGAGTGCTAGAGATGTGCAGAGTGGAATGTGTGAGCTGCTGCAGCCCTGTTTGTATGGGAGTGTGATCAGTGTGTTGTTCCCCAAAGTGGCATCTGAGGAAGCAAGTAGTGTTGGGCATTCTTCCTTTCCTTCAGCCGCACATGTGAAGCTGTTTGATGGGGCACATGACCTCGGTCTGGCGGAGGAACTGAGCAGAGGCAGGGAAACGGTTATCACGCTGCAGCTGGGAGCCCCTTGTGTGCCTTAGCCGATTTCATGCTGTCCTGAAACAATGGCTCAAGGCCACTGACTCTGATCTTTGGAGGAGTTGTTATGGTACCGTATCCCAGTACAACTAACTACTGCTCGCAGTCATGACTACCACATCAAACACTGTCATGGGAGGGGCAGTGCCTGTCCCAAATTTGGACGGCTGCTGGATTAAATATGATAAAAGCTAGATGGTTTGGTGTATTGGGGCACATGCGATGGGTAGGGCCTCTAGCGGTTCCTTGGCAGTGACAGTCCCATCTCTAGGCAAATCCATGGAATGCCTTTTATTAAGACTGACTAAAATAGTGCAATGCCACTGTGACGTGCTTGCTTACAGGGGAAACGGTTTTACCTTTAAACACTCTCTGTGTATATAAACTTGGTAGATTTCTCCTGCCACTAGGAATTAAAAATTCCAGTTCTCTCACTTTTGGTAGTATGACCTAGGGTCTGGGCACTTCAGAGGACTATGTGACCCTGAGGAAGTACTGTACTGATTTCTGGGATACGTTTAAACAAAAATTGATTTATTTAATAAAGAACAAAATAGGTTTCTGGTTATTTTGAACAGTTGCTGAAGAAAGGAACTTGTAAATATAACTGGCAAAGCTTGGTACCACAGTGTCTCAAACTCCACTCTGACATGCTTATACACTCAGTATATGCTCTCTCTCTCTCTCATATATGTATGTATGTGTGTGTGTGTGTGTGTGTGTGTGTGTGTGTATATATATATATATATATATATATATATATATCTCCACCCAGGCTAGTCTCTTTGTTTTATTCACACAGAATAGAATCAACTCTCTCAGTCACACAGACTAAACTGTTGGTTTTATTCACACAGAAATAGACTAAAAATCCCATGGTCATGCAGACTATGTTCCCTCTTCAAACTTCACACACAGTATCTCTTCAAAACTCTTCCATGCTTGTCTCTCCTCATAGACACACTCACAGAATCCTTTCAGAGACACCCCTCCCCCCACACTCTCAGTCATCAGCCAGTCAAAATACACTCATCTCCCTCTTTCACTCTTCTTACATTAGTGCAGTCAAACTAAACATTTAAAGGAACACACACATCAAAACATGAAATCATTACAGCCACGTACAGACTTCTGAGTCCTCCAGATCTGTTCTGGTTCCCTCGAAAATGAAGGGAGCTCGAAGAAGAGTGCTAAAGAGTTCGAAAGAGTTGGGAGGCTTGCAACTCGTCTGCATTGTGGTCTTTTGGAGAGCCATAATTAAACGAATGCGGTTTGAGACCCTTGAAGCGTGTGAGCCCCCTCCCACCTTGCCGTGGCCTTGCCACCCTCTGCCGTCCAGTTTGAGGTCTGGGCACCTCCCCTGAGGCCTCGGAACAACAGGAAGGAGAGGGGGTATGTCAGGCCCACCCTGGGCTCCGAGTGTTGCACCTCCCGTGGCCGTGGCGTCCCAAGGCGGGGGAGGTCCAACGGCCCTGGAAGTTGAGGCCTGTTAAAGAAGAGGGGGGAGCGTTGGGGGCTAAGATGGGTAGGGGACGGAGTTTAAGGGCACTCTGTCGGTCCCTCTACCTCCGTGCATCAGCTTCCCAGCTTCTCAGCGTCCTCCCTGGACTCCTTCTCTCTTTGCCTCCGTCAGGTAGTTCCGAGCAGGTCCTTCCTCTCCGCCCCCTTCGCTTCCCTCTCCTTTATACCCAGCTCCCTCTCCTGGCCCCGCCTCCCGGCCCCGCCTCCCTGTGATTCCTCCCGCCCCCTATGATAAGCTCCGACGCCGTCCCTACGGCCTGGGTGTGGTCGGAGCTATGCTGGCGGCGGTCCTGTTGGTCTGGGGCCGCGCTGCCGGCACCGGCGTGCGGGGTCTCGTGCGTTTGCTTGTTCGCCCGGGCTCCGTCGGCCTCTCCTGCTGCTCCACGAGGCTCTTCGCTCCGCGGTCAGGCTGGCCCAGGCTGTTGTGCCTTCGCGGCGCTGACGGGGTCTGGCGTTGCGAGGCGTTCCTGGTCTGTGGGTCTCCTGGGTGAGTTGGTGGTCGTTGGGGGACCCCGGGACTGGGACAGGGTGACACCACCCAAGTCCTCTCCCTTCCCGGGACTGGCTTCCTTTCGGCTGCCTCTGTAGCACCATCCTTCCTTTTCTCCCTTCTGCCAGGTGTGGGACTTCCTGGCCCCGCCCCCACCTGGCCAGTCCCCTTCCCCCTGCTCCGCCTGGGAGGCTATAAAAGGGAAGGGAAGCCATCCCTGCCTCTTCCCTCTGCTGCTGTCCGCCTCCCCAGCCCTGCTCCTTCCCCCGGCTGTTCAGGGCTGCCTCATAGCCCCTCCCAGCCTTCCCAAAGTCCGGTCTCGGCTGTCCTCAGCTGTCCTCAGCTGGGGCAGGATGGAGGCGGGGCCAGGCTTCGGCTCCCAATAAAAAACGGTGACATTTCCCAGGGTTACAAGCTTTTGTGAGTCAAAGCTCACTTCGTCACAGACCCCGATGTCTGAGAGGTAAGCGTTGACTCCAAAAGCCGGAGATTTTTGTTGGTGTTTTGTTCTGCGACTACAGACTAATGCAGACGGCCCACCTAAATAAAAGGCATTTCAGGGATTTCTAGGGATTCGGTTTCCAAGCCGAAGAGCCAGCGCTGTCCAAAGACGTTTTCCGTGGCCACATGGCCGGCATGACTAGACACCGAGGGGCACGGAATGCTGTTACCTCCCCACCAAAGCGGTACCTATTTATTTACTGCAGTTTTTTGCTTTTGAACTGACAGGTTGGCAGCTGGGGCCAGAGACGAGAGCTCACTCCGTCACATGGCACTAGGGTCTCGAACTGCCAAACTACCGACCTTCCAGTCTGCAGTTCAGCGTCAATACAGGCTTGGTAATATTTGCCTATCTACAGGGTGGTGGTTGTAGTAACACAGTGAATCTCTCTAAGCCACTGCACAAATACCTGAGTTCCCATGGCTCCCTCCCTGGCCGTTCAGCTTGGCTTCACTGTGTTTGCTGACTCCTCTGCAAATGTTATTTCAGAAGAATGCTTTAACTATATTAATTACGAAGGCAGCTTATGCTGCACAATCCTAGGACAGCCGGACCCCAGACGGCGTAAAGGCTGCTGCGTTCCAGGGTGTTGGTATTTTTCCAGGTGTGGTGCATTAAATTTGTTTCAGTAAAAACCCAGCTTCCTATTCTTTGCTTCACCAGTTTCAGAGGGTAGTTGTGTTGGTCTGCCGTAGAACATCTGGATTCACAACAGCTGGTGCTCCTGGACTGGAATCCACATAAGAGAAGCCAATGGTGGATCAGGCCAATGGCCCATCCAGTCCAACTCTCTGTGTCACACAGTGGCCAAAAATACCAGGGGCCATCAGGAGGTCCACCAGTGGGGCCAGGACACCAGAACCCCTCCCACTGTTGCCCCCCCCCCAAGCACCAAGAAGACAGAGCATCACTTGCCCCAGACCGAGAGTTCCTATCTATCCCTTGTGGCTAATGGCCACCGATGGACCTCTGCTCCGTATGCTTATGTAATTCCCTCTTTAAGCCACCCATGCTTCTACTTGCCACCACCTCCTGTGGCAGTGAATTCCACGTGTTCTTTACTAGACTCTCTCCCCTATTGTGGTTATAGCTGATCCAAGGGCAGAGCTGTTATATATTATACACCTGATAATCTGTCTGTCTGTCGTTATGGCTAAGGATGATGAGACAGTTCACGAGCCAGAATCTGAAATACAAAGCTACCCTGCTTGAAGTTCTGGTTTGTTCCATTCAGATGCCACAGTTCAAGTAAAGTGTGCCGTTGAATCACAGCCAACTCAGGGCAGCCCCGTGTATTTCCATTTCATGGGGCTTTCGAGGCAAGAGATGAGCGGAGGTGGTTTGCCATTGCCGTTCTCCGCGTAGGAGCCTCACTTTCCCTTGGTGGTCTCCCATCGCAGTACCGACCGTCCTTAGCTTTTGACCTCTGACAGGATTAACCCAGTCTGGGCTATCGGCTGCTGCGCCACAGTTAAAAGTGCTGTAAAAAAAAAAAGAATCCTAGAATGTTAGAGTTGGAAGGGATCTTGCAGGCCATCTAGTCCAACCCCAGCACTCTGCAGGAGCATAGCCGAAAGAGAGCCCTACATACCTACAACATACCCGAAAGATGGCCGTCTGGCCTCCACTTGAAAACGTCTAGCGAAGGAGCATCCACCACCTCCCACTCTGAAAACCCCAGAGTTTTCAGACATCCTCAAAAACCCAGAAGGGTGCTCTTGCTGGCAAGATATTTATGCTTCATAGTAGCTGCAGTGGCTAATAAGAAAGGAAGGGGGAATTTCCTGTCTCAAGCCCCAAAGGAAGGAGAAACACAGGTGCGTCAAAAAGAGACAATCTGTTTGTTTGTTTGTTTTGTTAGACTTGTATCCCACCTTCCCCACATTGTAGGCTGAGGGCAGGGACCAACCCGTAGGTCTACAATAATGCAGGTTTTGCCATTAAGAGAATTCGTAATTTACAATTAGGACCTGCAATTAATGTAGATGTGTAGATAAAACAAGGTCAGTAGTTCAGCAGTTTGAGACCCAAGTGCTGCATGACAGAGTGAGCTCCTGTCTCTGGCCCCAGGTCCTGCCAACCCAGCAGTTCGAAAGCAAGAAATTGCCAGTCGATAAATAGGTAACAGCGTTCCATGCACCTCGGCGTGTAGTCCGGCCACATGACTAAGGAAACGTCTTCAGACAGCGCTGGCTCTTTGGCTTGGAAACAGAGATGAGCACCGCATCCCTAGAGTCAGATTCGACTGCCTTTCAAGCAAGGGAAACCGTTACCTTTTCCTATAGAAAAAAACACATTATAAGAATCCATTTAAAACCAGTAAGATCGCTGCAGGCTAAGTTTGACTGCTGAGTGCCAGGCTGGTTTGTCGGGGTCCTTGATGATTTCGTCTTTTTCTGATTCTGAGTTTTAGACGTAATCCAAATAGAGTCGCTGCTTTTGCTGTCTTTTAAGTTGCTTTTGTGAGTCTTGGGGACAAAAAGCAGGGTAGAAGTATTTTTTCCCCAAATCCTTTTGCAGTTTTTTTCTGTTCTTTAATGTTCATTGTCGGAGGTGGTGGCGGTCGCTGTGTCTTCGCCCCCCCTTTCTGCTGAGACATATCTTGAGCCTCAAGGTTACCGGCCGGGTGAAAAACCTGTGAATTATTTTGAGGCTTTGTGCAGAAAATGAGAAACCTCCAAAAGCTCACCTTTAGTTACTCGTTGGCACGGCGGTGCACAGGCTGTTAGCGTGCATGACACATTTCTGCTTTCAGCCCAGAACTAGATTACTTGTACTCCAAAAGCTTTGCTGTCATGGGAGGTTCCCTTTTCCATCAGTCCGGTTTTTATAGCCTGTGTCATGCCCCAGTAATGTCTGCTTCTGAACTCATCCTTTCATTTAGCTACACTCGGCTTCCAAAGTGAATGAGTTTCTTTCAGCTATTTTTACCCCAAACTGCAGTCTCTTCAATTTTCTTTAGGTTCACATGCTTCATTCCTTTCACTCTACGGGTTTTTCGGTTGCAAGCGAAGAATAGAAATGATTGTTTCAATGCCACAGGTCCTGGAAGTAACCACAGTCCCCGGGTGGATAGCCAGTACCCGAACAGCTCTCAGTTGGCTGCCAATGGTACAGCTTGCCTATTGGACTTCACTTCCCATTTGTCAGTGGCCGTGCGCCATTGCTCCTGAAATTAAGCTTTGAGGAGCATTTGTGAAAGGTTAAATCTCTGCAGAATAGAACAGACACTTCTGAAGAAGTGAGCGGTAGCTTATGAAAGCTCACAGTGGAATAAATATGGTTAGTCTTTAAGGCGCCATGGGGCCTCTGCTTTATGTTGTTAAAATAAGAACATCAGAAAGCTGCATCAGACCAGTGAGGGTCCATCTAGTTCAGCCTCCTGTCTCACACAGGGGCCAACCAGTTCCTCTGGAGGGCCAACAGCAGGGCAGAGAGGCCGAGGCCTTCCCTTAAGAAGAACGTCAGAAGAGCCCTGCTGGATCAGAGCAGTGGTCCATCTAGTCTAGCATCTCCTGTCTCACACAGTGGCCAACCAGTTCCTCTTTAGGGCCAAGAACAGGGCAGAGAGGCCGAGGCCTTCCCCTGAGAAGAACCTCAGAAGAGCCCTGCTGCATCAGACCAGTGAGGGTCCATCTAGTTCAGCCTCCTGTCTCACACAGGGGCCAACCAGTTCCTCTGGAGGGCCAACAGCAGGGCAGAGAGGCCGAGGCCTTCCCTTAAGAAGAACGTCAGAAGAGCCCTGCTGGATCAGAGCAGTGGTCCATCTAGTCTAGCATCTCCTGTCTCACACGGTGGCCAACCAGTTCCTCTGGAGGGCCAACAAACAGGGCACAGAGGCCGAGGCCTTCATTAGAACACAAGAAGAACCCTGCTGGATCAGACCTGTGGTCCATCTAGTCCAGCATCCCGTCTCACACAGTGGCCAGCCAGTTTTTCTGGAGGGCCGACAACAGGGCAGAGAGGCCGAGGCCTTCCCCTGATAAGGACATGTCAGAAGAGCCCTGCTGGATCAGAGCAGTGGTCCATCTAGTCTAGCATCTCCTGTCTCACACGGTGGCCAACCAGTTCCTCTGGAGGGCCAACAAACAGGGCACAGAGGCCGAGGCCTTCATTAGAACACAAGAAGAACCCTGCTGGATCAGACCTGTGGTCCATCTAGTCCAGCATCCCGTCTCACACAGTGGCCAGCCAGTCCCTCTGGAGGGCCGACAACAGGGCAGAGAGGCCAAGGCCTTCCCCTGATAAGGA